CAAAATGCTTTTGGACTCGGTCGTTGTTATTTTGCTGACAAAATTAAGCCATATTTTATTAGTGATTGCATAGTTGAGAGTGTTCAGTTCGATCTTAATGAGAAGCGTGAAGACTTAACCAAAAAAACAATGTGAAGAACAATCTGTTGACCAAGAATGTGATGAACAAGAACACGATGTAGAAATGAATGAATGATTCAGAAAAAAAGGACAAAGAGATATTTTTATTGTGTTTACCATATCGTATAGAGTACATTGTATATAGTATGCTGTGTGATATTTGCTGTAACGCCAATTATGAACATTTATTGAAAAAAATAAGAAACGTCTCTAAACGCTACTCTGCTATTTTATTGCTAATAACACATTCTGCGACATTATTATATTTCTTTTCATTTGCATATCCCCGAATATTCGATCAGAAAAGTTATTGCGACTTCGACCACTTGATAGTAGTAAGAAAAACGTGTTACACTTAAAAATATTTGAAAATATGACCGCATACAAAAGAGGATTTTTAAAACTATGGTGATACCTCCTAGTACCTGGTAGTACCTTCTGAGTCACTTGAAAGAGAGTAAGAGAATTGGAATTATTTCGTAATTCATATCTTTGAATTACTTTGTAATTCATTTCTGTCATCCAGTGGAATTTTGATCGCAACTCGATGAGTTGTAATAAATAATCAATAGAAACTAAACCATCACCCATCATTATAACAGCTGAAGTTGATAAAAGCCGATTTCGAAGTTTGGTACATATATGTATTGCATCTTGCATACACAAGAAAAGCTGTTGACGAGGTAAAAAGAACCATGACCAAGACTTCGGTATATCAGTTGTTAATAATAGAGAGTGTTTTGATATTGGACTATTTAATAGAGTGGCAAAGAAACCGGAGACCAGTCTCATACCCAATAAATACTTTGCATCGGCGTCCGTTGAATAGCCAATAATGCGAATACCTTGTGATGAACTTTCTTCAAAAACTTTAAACCAACGACGAATTATATCAAACGATGTGTACTTCCCATTTGTTCCATATGCAGCTAGTGCATAAGGAGAAATTTTCTGATCGTTACTATTTATTGGTTGAACCATGTAAAGATTGAGCAATTTAGAAATATCTTCCTGTTCAAACCAGCATTGCAAGTCTTCGATAGAGTCTGTTTGGAAATATTTCATTCGTGGTATACCATATTCGTCGAGCGGAGGTGAAAAACCTACAAACGAGTTTGATCGAGAATCATAAATAATTTTTCGTTCAGCAGTGGTGCAGTCTTCAGCACAAAATGCAAATTTTGAATTAACTGTAGACATATATTTAATCATATCATTATAACGAAATTCACCTTCTAATGCACGAAGTCCTTCTTTGGCTAATTTTGTTTGAATGGTTGTCAAACTAGGCAATGCACCAGGTATATTAATACGTAAAAATTCATAAGCATTGCGTCCTGCCGAAATAAATAAGCAAAGTGCAAAATCAAGTACATCTTCTTGATAACGATATCGGCTTTTGGCAGTAGGTAAATTTGAAAGGAGATTATCGAGGAAACGATGCAGAAAATTTTCATTTGTGGAATCAGGATTTTGTGATAAGGAATTGTAGAAATCAATTAGACGTTTAAGAAACGGATGTTGTTGAAAAACTTCTGGCTTCAAAATTAATTCCTTTTCATTACCAAGATCATTTGTCATTTGTCCCTTGGAAATTAATACATTTCGAAGATTTTTCGTTAATTCATTGATATCGTATTGAACTCCAATCTTGATTACATAGCTACCGTCGGAACGACGAAATGCTAATTTTTTCTTCACATCAATTAATTCAAGATAGTCTTCTTGTAATGGTAAAAAAATATCATCAATTCCAAGGAGCGAATCAACAGATCGAACACCAAGAAGTTTTAAATATTCCACAACATCTTGACTACAAAACTGACCGATGAACATAAAGAAGTCATTATCACGAAGATCAAGTACATTAAGTGGAATTGAAAGCAGTGTTTCAGTCATAATATATTTCTAAATGAGTGAAAAAATGTAGCATAAACATAATTAGGATCAGTGACTTGCACATTCAAAGAAAAGACAAAAAGTAGGTGAGAAATTTATTTTATGCACTAGGATTATTAGTGCGGAAACAATAAAAACTGTCTTTGTTTTAATTATATAGTATCGTTATGTTTCATAGAAAGAACTTTTCTCTTTTTATTAATAAAATCTTCTAAATACATATATGATACAATAATTAAAAACAGTAAATACAGATTATCAACATTGGTAAAAAATAAAAATGATAAAATAAAAAAAAAATCACACAGATATGGCATCTAAGAATCTATTCTATTGTACCTAAGTTGTTCGAAGTTTTTTCTTGTTAATATTAACAGCTGTTGTTTGTCGAGCTCTTTTGATAGTAGAAACTGTAGATGGTTGTTGTGACGATAAAAGTAAAGATGAATCTCGAGAAATAACAATGTTACTACGTATTTGTTCATGTTCGGTTGAATTATCAATAGATTGACTTTGAACAACCGAACAAGTTGTTTTTAGATGACGAAAATAATTCGATACCTATTAAAGAAAAATTCTATTTGGTGCTAATATGCACAAATTGATGAGTATGTTTCTCAAATGAGACTGATTTTGTAAAATTTGTTAGAAAATTGTATCAACTATAACCCTACGCAATAATGTTCGTAGGATTAATTAAGTAATGCATGTCAAAGATTAAAATGTTCAAACTCAATTATGGTACAATGTTTGTTTTCAAAGATCTGAAGAGAATGGCTTTTGATACAATAAACTTATTAAAAAATAACTTTACCTTGAAGTTTCCTGAATCAGCACGAACAAGGGAAGATTTTAGCCCACATGAACATATGACTGCGACTTTGTCAAGAGATGAACTAAACTTCAAGTGATAATCAATACCACAAACAAAATTTTAATTACAAAGATTAAGATCATTTTTATTTTGATTATACCATTGTTCTATAGATGTAGTAATGAATTCATGATGTTCAGTTACAGTTTTTGTTGAAACGACTGGAGTAATAGCAGTGTCACCAGGAGAAGAATTAATAGAATATGATGAAGCAGTTGAAACGGTCGATGGAATTGAAACTGTCGATTGAATTGAAAGTATCGATGGAGTTGAAACCAAAGCAGTTTTTTTCTTTTTTGTGGTTTTTGTTTTCATCTCTGTCAGGAGAGAGCTAATATAATTGAGTGAGCTTTTAATTCCTGGCTTGACTGTAAAAGTACCATTTCTGTTCTTGAAAGCACATCGTGCTTGAATTTCAATAACATCCTCGCTATCAACAGCAAAGATGGAATATACATCTTGAACGGAAAGAAACGAATCGACAGACCGGATAGCTTGTATTGAAAGTAAATCGGCTTCATCTTTCCCAAAAAAAACTTTCAATAAAATCGAAGAAACGTTGGTTTGAATATGTAAGAACATCGTGTGGTAACCGTGATATATCCAACGATGCACGTGCCATGTTGACGACGTAGAAGATGAAATTGAACGATACACACGAAATAACTTATATTGAGCGAGACAAACTTGTTGTTCTTGTTCGACAGAAAGTATACGAGAGGAAAGAGAAACATCGAATGATCGTTAATTCTAGGTACAATAATTAGTTCATATTGTATTTTTAAAATAACGAACAGCTATGTAACGAGATATTATGACCTTCAGAGAAAATATGTATATTATTTGCGTTGATGAAAAAAAATTAACAAAAACAAAATTTATTTAAAAAACTTACTAGGAAATGAATAGTTATTCGTATATGTTGTGCAGTCGTAGTGAGAAAAAATTTGCTTCTAATACATAGGTATGCAGAGAAACAACATTTTATACAATACATTTATTACTGATATATAATTATGATCTCGTATGTTCAGAAATCATGATTTATTGATAAATAATTTAACTACAAAAGTTACTTTTCCTTAAGTTTTCTTTCATTTTTTTCTTTCTCAAGTAAAAGATTTCTTCGTTTAATTTAGCGAGGGAAATTTATTTTTGGTATCCTTTTGCAATTCTTTCTCTCAAGCATTTTTCTATAATTAAACAATTTCTTTGTCACTTGTTTACATTATGAAAAGACTAAAATATTCTTAGTCATATTGCTTGATAAATAAACATGTAGATGATTGACTCGCTCCGAAGGCATATCATTATATATAAAATATGCAGATATAAATTGATATTTTTCTTGAACTAAATACATTAAATATCTGAAAACTTAGCTTTTAAGAACGAAAAAGATTACAAAGAGAAGTTTTTGGTTGTTGAAATTCTCATTCTGTAAGACTTTTTTATGTGCACACAGATACTGATGAGGACCGATCTCATTCATTTTTACTTATTCAATATGGTTCCCATGGAAAAAAAGTTCAAAAAAAGAACGGATAAGAACGCGTTGTCCAGATAAAAGACTGCGTTGTGAAGACGCTTTTTTCGACCTTTTGAGACGCGTTTGTGTAATGAAAAACGCGTTCTTTTGAATAAAAGGAACCCGTTCTGATCGCTCCATAAGAACACGTTTTTCGCGGTAAGAACGCGTTCTTATTTAGAAGAAAAAAAATCATTTATTTATTGTAATTTCAACTCTATAATGCTCTCGAACGTGTTCCTTTGCTATTTGTATAAGTTCTCAGGCTGCTGGTTCCTCTATTCGAATACTTGTGTTCGCACAGAACGCGTTCTACTTCGTTTTGATTTTACTACCGTAGAGTGGATTCAATCAGATAAACTTGTAGTTTCGAAGTAGTGATTATCCGAATGAACTACACTTACGTATGTTTGAAGTGCTGAGTTTTCTATTTGTATTAAACAAAATTTATTTTGGCTTAATGAAATTTAAACTTAAGACTGATCCATTTAAGTTTACAAAAAATTTAATAAATTCAAAAATAAATTTAAAGAACTTGAACTTCTTTCAAAAAAAATATTGGAAATTTGGCGTTTTAATATTTTTTGATATTTAATAAAAGTTTTCCAATCTAGCTTACATTAATTAAAACTCATGTAATTAGACTTAAATATTCGTTATCTGATTGAAATTCATTTACTGCGATTTTTATCGAATTTAAGTCTAATTATATTGGTTTAAATTAAATTTACATTGTACGATCGATTGGAGTAAATATAATTTTTTTTTAAAGTTAAATTCATTTTAAATTTGAATCGACAAACGCTAACTTTAATAGAAATTAATTAAAAACCGATAGACAATTCTGATTTTTATTATGAGCAAAAATAATTGATGCCTTCGATGGAAAGTAAAAATGTGATAAATGCATTTGAGGCATGCACTAGTATAACTTTTTCAAAATTTCTGTTTAATGTTT